TTTCCATTGTCAGTAACATTAAAAAAGATTACTTGAAAAATAATTGCAAATGGTTCTGAGATTATCATTGTTATTATCAGTGTTCTCAAAAGTATAATTTCTAATAATCAATACCTAGTAAATCTAATTCTATCACTGTAAAGAAAATATTGAATGTTTGATGATTTTCAGAACCAAATCAAAATTAGGAATTTCTCATTAAGTACTCTATACTGTCAAAACTTTACACCAATACATAAGTTCTTAGATTCAAATTATCTACTCGCATCGCTTGTTTACTAATCCAGTGTTTATATTTAAGACACAAACAAAATATTTCTATTCTAGCAATAGTTCTTAGGAATAAGCATATTCATCTAATTGACATAATTCCTGTTAAACCCTTTCTTTACAGCAAAATCCCCAGAGTAAATAAGTAATCAGAATAAAATGGTGAATGGTTGAAACAAATAAACATACTAGACATCAAAAATCAGAATAAAAGAGCACTATAGAATGGGAACCCAAATCTTCTGTTTAAGGAATATCTATTTATGTTGTTTACATGTGATTCATCACAACCAAACCTATATCATCCTTCCATAAGGTTTTGTTTAGAACCAGGTACAATTAACACAAGCTATATTTTCAGCAAGTGATGAATTGTCAGATTGTCCAGAGACTGGAAATAAACATAAAAAAATTCATTAGTGCTTCAACTTTAAATTTAGAGCAAATTTGTAAAGACTTAAAACCATCATAACCATTTCTTCATCAGGCTGACCTACCTATGCCAAAGGCAACATAACAAAAATACATTTGCTCGTTATGATTCCCTCTTAGAGGTTAAAACTTCCATTAACTAAAGACACAAATGTGTTATCTGTCGGTAATCACTCAAACTATTTTGTTAGCTTTCAGTAAGAGACAGGAGATAAAACTACAGGAAAAACAAAAGGAAAAAAATATCAAAGAAACCTATTATTCTATAGGTGCTCTTTAAGGTAAGGCTAGAAGTGCATTCACTATCTGAAAATGGACTTCATCTTTGCTGCATCTTCTGACCCTCATAATCCTCTACACTAATTGCAGGCAATAACAACTCCATCATATCTGTAGATATTGGAGCATCAGGCACAGAAGATAAACTAAGTCTATTTGCAGATGCCTCCACTTTAGGTTTAGCTTTGTTAAAGCCAAATGAAACAGATCTTGTGACTTTTGGTAGGCATCTGACCCTCTTCCTTAGGTCTTCAGCAGACCCTACAGATAGACGCCATTTTCCATTTTCAATCAATTTTGATGAAGCTGAGGAAGAATCATGATTATGGCCCTCACTCTCCTCTTCCTCTGTGCCATGAGGAAAGTGCTCATTAATGGTTGGCAGGGGTGGGGATGAAGTGCCAAAGGAAAAAGGGTTTTGGCTAGGGTTATGAGGGGTGCTTTGTGTATAGCTTCCCCTCCCTGACTTTCCAAAAGCCAAGACATCCACGCTGCATGCAATTAGGAGACAGAAAGCAGAATACATATTAGTGACTAGTCCTACTTAATATAACTTATGGTAGGACTCTCTTAATATGTACTATAGCTTCTTTTATTCTAATTAGGTGTACATCTTTACAAAATTGCACTATCCAAATGTATATGAAAACAAATAACATTAATGCTTCACAAGTAAAATCACTGTGTTGTAATGGTTACAAAAGACATGCAGACACTAGAAACAAAAGATATTCTTCATTCTGGATTTTGCTATACATAAATGTGTAAATATCAACTACGTTATAACTGTAACATGAATAACATGCTACTCTTTGTAGCCTGAAACAAAATGGTAAACCAGCCAAAGGTCATAGCAAAAATAACATTTGCATACTCCTATGTTAAAGGTATCCTTAATCTAAGCTAAGTAATATTCCATGTGTTTACATTCACATTTATATAGCAACATAAAAACAACAGCAGTTAGTATGGTCAGTTTCTGGGAAATTGATGAAGTACTAGTTCTTTAACTAGCATTCATTATTTCTTACAAACAACAATTTGCGAGCTACCTAATGCTTGTTTCAGATTACAACTTGAAAATCTCAAAATTAGTCCAATGTATAATTTTGATGTATGTATTAACCCCTTTGATCCAGGTGATGTGACCATCACATCATGAAAAATATTTGGCTTGAGGGTTGAAAGGCATGAACATACCATCATGAAATAATTTGGGTGCAGGTAGGGGTGATGGGATCATGCCATCATGAGAATTTAGCAGAAGGCAGGGGTGACAGGAATGACTTGTTACAAGTGCACAAAGCTCCTGAACAGTGATTAAACTCAATGGGCATTTGGGAAAGGGCAATATTCCTATCAGTAACAAGTGTGAAATGTACCATTCATTAGCCATGACTGGAAGAGCAGTGGATCCAAGGAGGACAGGATTTCCATGCTCAGGATCCTATTCCTGCCTGCCGTGACCTGCAGCGCAGGCTATTTAATAGAAAATGTAAATATTACAGCAAATAACAAAATATTACTTATTGTTATTATCACTGCAATAAGTTATGGACTCCCTAGAGATGTGATACAAGTTTGCACAAGTATAACAGTCTCTTACCATCTGGATACAGTATATCAGTTGACAACTATAAACACTGGAAAATTACAAAAGAGCAAAAAATGCATTGCAAAGGGGAAGCAAGGAATCTTGACAATGCACATGAGTGTTTGTGTGTGCCTAGATTATAAACCACACATCTATGAGTGGCGACTCAAGTAAGCCTAATGCCTGGATTTTGGGCACATGCGGACAGTGAAGCACCCGGATACAAGGGGTTAAAATTATGACTAAAACCTATAGTTTGTATTACAATAGTGTGTGTGTGTATAATAATCAGAAACCCTATACATAGCTCAATTAAAAGTTGATAGGTAAATTTCACGATGTCTAACATGGAATTTTTTATCTATGTTGGATCAGTGTAGTGTAAAAAAGTTGTTGGAACACAATTAGAAAAATAAAGGATATAACCTAAAAATATATACTTCTATAAACCTGATGCAAAAACTTGCAGACAAAACTAGTCAGGGAACTGAAATGTCATACAGATAAAAATTTCTGCATGTGTGTGAATATATGTATGTATGTATATTTACATACACATACACATACACACACACACACACACACACACACACACACACACACACACACACACACACACACACACACACACAGCACACACACACACATAATATATATGTGTGTGTGTGATATAATGTGTGTGTGTGTGTGTGTGTGTGTGTGTGTGTGTGTGTGTGGTGTGTGTGTGTGTGTGTGTGTGTGTTGATGTGTGTATGTAAATGTATAACATACATACATATATTCACACACATGCAGAATTTATCTGTATGACATTTCAGTTCCCTGACTAGTTTTGTCTGCAAGTTTTTGCATCAGGTTTATAGAAGTATATATTTTTAGGTTATATCCTTTATTTTTCTAATTGTGTTCCAACAACTTTTTTACACTACACTGATCCAACATAGATAAAAAATTCCATGTTAGACATCGTGAAATTTACCTATCAACTTTTAATTGAGCTATGTATAGGGTTTCTGATTATTATACACACACACACTATTGTAATACAAACTATAGGTTTTAGTCATAATTTTAACCCCTTGTATCCGGGTGCTTCACTGTCCGCATGTGCCCAAAATCCAGGCATTAGGCTTACTTGAGTCGCCACTCATAGATGTGTGTTTATAATCTAGGCACACACAAACACTCATGTGCATTGTCAAGATTCCTTGCTTCCCCTTTGCAATGCATTTTTTGCTCTTTTGTAATTTTCCAGTGTTTATAGTTGTCAACTGATATACTGTATCCAGATGGTAAGAGACTGTTATACTTGTGCAAACTGTATCACATCTCTAGGGAGTCCATAACTTATTGCAGTGATAATAACAATAAGTAATATTTTGTTATTTGCTAATATTACATTTTCTATTAATAGCCTGCGCTGCAGGTCACGGCAGGCAGGAATGGATCCTGAGCATGGAAATCTGTCCTCCTTGGATCCACTGCTCTTCCAGTCATGGCTAATGAATGGTACATTTCACACTTGTTACTGATAGGAATATTGCCCTTTCCAAATGCCATTGAGTTTAATCACTGTTCAGGAGCTTTGTGCACTTGTAACAAGTCATTCCTGTCACCCCTGCCTTCTGCTAAATTCTCATGATGGCATGATCCATCACCCCTACCTGCACCCAAATTATTTCATGATGGTATGTTCATGCCTTTCAACCCTCAAGCCAAATATTTTTCATGATGTGATGGTCACATCACCTGGATCAAAGGGTTAATACATACATCAAAATTATACATTGGACTAATTTTGAGATTTTCAAGTTGTAATCTGAAACAAGCATTAGGTAGCTCGCAAATTGTTGTTTGTAAGAAATAATGAATGCTAGTTAAAGAACTAGTACTTCATCAATTTCCCAGAAACTGACCATACTAACTGCTGTTGTTTTTATGTTGCTATATAAATGTGAATGTAAACACATGGATATTACTTAGCTTAGATTAAGGATACCTTTAACATAGGAGTATGCAAATGTTATTTTTGCTATGACCTTTGGCTGGTTTACCATTTTGTTTCAGGCTACAAAGAGTAGCATGTTATTCATGTTACAGTTAAACGTAGTTGATATTTACACATTATGTATAGCAAAAATCAGAATGAAGAATATCTTTTGTTTCTAGTGTCTGCATGTCTTTTTAACATTACAACACAGTGATTTTACTTGTGAAGCATTAATGTTATTTGTTTTCATATACATTTGGATAGTGCAATTTTGTAAAGATGTACACCTAATTAGAATAAAAGAAGCTATAGTACATATTAAGAGAGTCCTACCATAAGTTATATTAAGTAGGACTAGTCACTAATATGTATTCTGCTTTCTGTCCTAATTGCATGCAGCGTGGATGTCTTGGCTTTTGGAAAGTCAGGGAGGGGAAGCTATACACAAAGCACCCCTCATAAACCCTAGCCAAACCCTTTTTCCTTTGGCACTTCATCCCACCCCTGCCAACCATTAATGAGGCACTTTCCTCA